TTCGGGTGGTGTTTGATATGCGAGCGAACGACGAACTTAGCCAACTGTTCGTCGGCGTACGGGTCCACCTGATCCCTCACCACACAGATCACGTCGAACCGCGAGATAATCGGTTCCGTGAGGTCCACGTTCTGCGAGAATGTCAACCCTATGTCATAGCGACCGCCAATAGGGTTGGCCGCGGCTATGACGGCGCACCGGGCCTGCAGTGACGCCACGATTCCCGCTTTGGATATAGAGATGGACTGCTGTTCCATCGCCTCGTGAATGGACGTCCGGTCTTTGTCCGACATTTTGTCGAACTCGTCGATCATACAAATGCCGCGATCGGCCAACACGAGCGCACCCGCCTCTAGGGTCCACTCCCGGGTCACCGGACTCTTCTGCACGTACGCCGTCAGACCCACAGCACTGGCTCCCTGTCCGGTGGTGAACACGGCTCTCGGCGCCACTTTCGATATGTACTTCAGGAACTGGGACTTAGCTGTTCCCGGGTCACCACAGAGCAGCACATTAATGTCACCCCTGACCCTGTGTTTGTTGCCCGGGTTCTTGGCTTCGCCCCCAAACAGGGCCAACGCCAGCGCTCTCTTGACATTCTTGTGGCCGTATATGGAGGGCGCCATCGACGCGAAGATTCGGTCAGCGATTCGGTGATCTTTGGAGAGCTCCAGGATTTTGCTGATGTCGTCGTCGGTGAGCACAGAGCCCACTGCAGACCAGTTGTCTTTCTTGAGGATATGGTTCGCCATAATAACGGTGGAGAACACGGGAAAGCCGTTCGCGATGTTCAGCGACCCGTCGTATGAGTTGGTGTAGACGCCCGTCAACTCGATCTCATCGCCCGGACGGCACGAGTCGCACAAATCGCCCAAAAGTATGGCGTCTTTGGAGCGGGGGATACGTCCGGCGCTGATCTTACCCGGACTCTCCTGAATGGTGATGCGCTGATAGTTCTGGTAAATGGTTTCCTCCATATTGATGGAGAAGGGACCGGTCGACTGGCACTCCGGGCACGACCCCGGCTTCACCTCCTCGGTCTGGTTCTGGACAAAGGGCCCCAAAATGTACTTACATTTAATGCAATCGTATTTAATTAGTGACAATTGCGGCAAAACGGTGGTCGTCGAGGTGACCACTCCGTGGGTGCGAATCAATTGATTCAAATGCAGTTGTCTTAGGGAACGGATGTCTTCGATGAGCGGCAGTTCAGTGATGCGGACGAAGATCTCTTTGGCGATGCGCTCATAGGCCGGGAATATGGAGAGCACCACATGTTTGGCCGCTTCGTTGAAGATCTCGAGCATCTCTATGGGCGCGTCCGGCAGAAAGTAGGCCAACACCTGCTCCGAGGCCGCCAACAAATGGTAGTCCACTTCGAAGCTCTGCTTATTCTCCTCAGACATCGTACGGATCTTATCTCTGAACACATTCCTCCCCTTCTCGTCAGTACAGGTCCTCAAGAAGTTCTTAAATCGGTTGTAGATCTCGCGTTTGGGCGCCAACTGGACGACCCATTCCCGGACAGTCATACCGCGCGTGTCCTCCAAATTCTCGATACTTTCGATCATCTCTTCGGCGTCTCCTTCGCCGAACAGCTCAGCCCTGCGCTGAGCTCTCAGCTGTCGGCGCCGGACGTGCGGCCGATCCGAGCCGTCCTCCTCCGAGTCGTCATACATGTCGAGCCCTCTCCTCATGCGGCCGGCGAGCCGTCCCTCAGCCCTATCCCTGTCGCGCATCTCTGCCTCAGCGGTAATCCTCTCTCCGAGTGACAGCTCCGACACCGCCGAGTCGTCCAACATATCGGTCTCATAGACATCCAGTTCCGGTCGCGGCCTATAGTCTCGTTCAAAGTTGTCGCCAAAGAGCTCTTCGCCGCTCTCGTCGTCCGACACGTCCCGGAGTCGGCCGTCCCTTACGACGGGTCGCATGGGTTGGCCACTCGCCTGAGGACTGGCCGCAGACTCGTCGTCAGTAATCATGTTGTCGTCGGGGATGTCGTCGTTGTCCTCGAAGGGCACTCCCGGAGAGCCCACCGGACTGTTGATGTCTGAGGCGCTGTCCCCTGACTGCCAACACAAACACATCACCAATGGATCAGTTGTCGTGCAAATGTGATTGTATTACAGTATACTTACAGCCATTTGATTAGTGGTTGAGATCTAAACACAAGTTTAATAACTAATGAAAAGTCAATTGAATTGTGGTTTGA